GCCGGAGCCGAGGCCCGCCGCCGCGGGGCTCCCGGTGGGGCCCTTCTGCCCTCGTGGGCGCTCCTCCCGGGACTTGAGCCGCGAGCTTCGAGGTTAGAGCACAGCAGCCTGGACCAGGCGTGCCCTGCTGCAGGGGCGACGCAAACGGCGCGCATGGAAGAGCAATTGTGTTATCGTTAAGATGTGGTTTGCTGCCGCAGCCGTGAAGCCTCTTGGAACAAAACTGTAGTAGTGCTTTCAGTAGGAGGGGAAGAGTTAGACTCCGTGCGGTGAGTGCCCCTTAATTCTCAGGAGTTGAGTAATAGATTTCTTTTCAAGGATCTCTTACCGTCCTGTGTAACACAAATGTGTAACCAAGAAGTGAAGAAGTGGATGGCGTTAGGAACCCGTGTGAGGGCGTAAGAGATGCTCGTCCTAATGGCTTACGCAGTTACGGTGCCTCAGGAAGGACTCAGCGACCGCGTCCGGGCCTTGGGGCAGACACTGTTAGCTTGTCTATTTCATGGGGTGGAAGAGTGAAATTTAAGTGACAGCTCACGGCACCCTGCCTCAGAGCACTGCTTTTACTTCTCAACGTCATGAGTTTGTTTTAGCTGTTCCTCTGAATTTTAAATCACCCAGAACTCACGGAATGAGCGTCCTTACAGGACTGTGGAGTCAGGGTGCAACCCATTGTCGCATGTTTTCAGCACCCCAAAGAAAAACCCTGAATTGTTCAGCCAGCCCTCCCTTCCTCCCCCAACCTCTCCATCCCCAGTCCTGGAAAATCACTGCTCTGAGCTCCCCATTCCTAATTCCATCTTCCTGACATTTTATATAAAAGCCACTTTTCATATGCAGTCTTTTGTAACTGACTTCTTTCATTTAATATGAGATTTTCAAGATGTACCCAGTTGCAGTGTGTGTCTTCATTACTTCTTATTGCTCAGTCATTCAGAGCCTTATGTTCAGCGAGTTGGCCACATATGTTAGGACACAAATTGGAACACATTCTGTAGAAAGCATCAGGTTCTAAATGAACTCTAAATTGTATCACAAAGAACACTGGAGCAACTGAGAGTATTTAATGTAGAAATAAGAACATATAACATATAGGTGTCCTAATAGTCTTTTCAAACAACTGAAGAGGTGGCGTAAATCAGAAGCAATACATATTTTCCTTCTGGGTTCAAGGGAGTCTATTTAGAAGTTCTGGGGGGAAATGCCACAGCAAACAAAACTTTACCTTGGTGTGAAGAAAATGGTGTAAGTTTCCCACAGAAGGAATAGCGGACCACACATTCTCTATAGTCGTGAACATTCCAGAACTGGGTAGTGGAGCGGCTGGGGGCAAGGGAGGGCTGGCCAGCGGAGCGCAGTCTAGCCCTGGGGACCTTTGAATATCACTTCCAACGTGGAGCTCAGGGTCGCTCAGGAGGCAAATGGCCTCCTGCTTTCCAACACTTCTACTTAAAGAAAAAAAAGAAAGTTTGTTTTGATGTTTTGATAGATTTATGTGAGGATAAGGAGGGTTCTGAAGGGAGGACACCAAATCAGGAGAGTAGAGAGTGTGGAGAGAGAAAGGAGCAGGAGGGTGAAAGAGGTCGGAAGGCAGTGTGAGACTCTGGCCAACCAGGCTGTTTACAGACGGGCTGACCTGGTGACCTCTTCCTACTGCTTGTTTTGCTGTTTTTCCCTTCCAAATGAGAGGAAGGAATTCAGTTTGGGGATGTGGTGGGAATATTTATGAGGTTAGAGGGGCTAGGGTCACATCCATGCTGTCATATAATTGATGATATGAAGGTCCTAAGCCAAACCCATTTTCCTTAGCAATGTGCTGAGCTGACAGGTAAACGTTGAAACAAAGGCTTGCTGAGTTAATCCTAGCGGGCTTTCCCAACAGGCAGCCCTGTGGGCTGTGGGCATGCAAGTCCCCGTGCTGTGACAAAGATGGGCTGTGAAGACCATTACTCTGCAGGGACCACTCCCTCCCACAGGTGTCCTAGCCCTAGAGGGGAGGGCAGAGCTCCCAGAGGACAGGTTGAGTGTGGACACTTTCGTGTCCTGGTGAGCACCGCACCACAGCAGTATTCAGTGTCCCTCAAGAAGCTTCAGAGACAATGACCTGGTCTGGGGGTACGTCAAACGGGGAAAACTGGATGGTGACATCAACCAGAAGATGAGACTAAGAGTGAATTCGATGTCACAACTTGGGGATTGCTTTGGGAGACTCAAATTCTGACAAATCATGGAAGGCTTCAAGCCACTGTTGATGAGCCAGGGTGGCATGAAGACTACCACAGCACATAAAGAAAGGAAGGAAGGGCTTAAGGGAAGAAAAGAAATCACATGGCCCTAAATGCATCAAGAGAAAACCAGGAACACCGCTGAAAATAATGGTATAGTGGAATCAGGAATCTAGGTCAGCCATCAGGGAGCCCTGGAGCAATTCAGAGTTGTTTTCAACTGCAAATCTGGCTTTCAAAGTCCTTTAACCACTAGTTGCAATATCCCTCACAATGAATGAGAATGTGTTGAATTAGATCATCTGTAAGACCCCAGCAATCCTCAATTTCTATGAGTCTATCACTTGAACAAAACAAGATGGCTGCTAAATATGATAATGCTTTTAATACATTACTGGGGAGAAAACCCCTTAGCAGAGCTTTCCCCAACCTTTTGGGCACCAGGGACCTGTTATGTGACAGACACTTTCTCCATGAACCTTAGTTGAGGGGATGGATTTAGGGTGAATCCAATGGGCTGCAACCTAGATCCCCGGGATGTGTACCCCATAGTGGGGTCCACTCTCCTATGAGGTGCTCATGTTCCTGGGGTGACGGCAGCCGCTGTAAGTCTGGGTGCAGCTTCGCTTGCTGCCCGCCGCCCACCCCCTGCTGTGCAGCACTGGTCCTCGCAGGGACAGGGCCCTCCCACACAAGAGCAAGGAGACCCTGAGCAGGCAGAAGCTCAGCGCAGACTCGGTGCTAGCAGACAGTGCGGCAGACACTTGGGCGGGCAGATGGCAAGCTGGCTTCGCTGCTTCTGGAGCATCATGCAGGACTGGGAAGCGGATTTTATGGTGCCAAGAAAGAATGTGGCCAGTCGCTTTCCAGCCCTGCCTCTGCTCTACGCTTCTCACTCCTGCTAGCTCGTGGCCACCTCCTCTTCCGCCTCACGGAGACCATCATCTCTTGGCTGCCTGCAGTCTCCCCACCCTTCCTGCCTGGTCCTGCGCTCTTTTCTCTCCTCCCCTGTGCTTCCCCTATCTGTCAGGATGCATATCCCTGCCATGAATCCTCTAGACTCCTGCACCATTCATTCACCTGGCAGACTTGCAGAGCTGCTCCGGCCGTGCTGCCTGAGTCGCTCAGCTCGGCTCCCCTAGAGGAGAGCACAGAAATCAACCAACCCTACTGTAAGTCCAGATCAAACCCTTGGGATCCTCCTTGATTCTTTCCCCAAAACCTGGGTATTTAATCTGTATATCTCCAAGTATATCCTACTTTTCCTGCCCTCCTTAAAGACGTCTACAGAATATTGCAGCAGGCTGCTGCCTGTGCCTTGTGGTAGTAACCAGCGATTGTCCTAAAATGTACAGTTACCCATTCGCTTTCCATTTTACAGGAAAATTCCCCCATCTCAAGTTCTTGCAACATCGCACAAGCGGCATGTGGTTCTCTGTCAGCCCCGTCTCGACCATACCTTCTCCCATCATTCACCCCTTATTCTGCTCGGCCAGCCTCACTGACCTTTGCATTCCCCTGTGCCCTTGCTGAGCACTGTGTTCTCCGTGCTTACATTCCACCTACTGAGCCTCTACTCAGTCGTACAGCTGCTTAATTTACACCCTCATTTCATTCATATCTCTGCTCAGAACTGTCACTTTATCAGAGATGTATATTCTCTACCCACCCACACCTCAATCTTTACTCCTTTACTATGTGCTATAATTTATAACTTTTCCCATATAGTGTATATTCTTTTCTATTGGTGATAACCTGCCTTTTTCTCACTAGAATATAAATTCAAAGTGGCAGACTCTTTACCTTCTTTGTCCACTGATTTGTGTCCAAAATCTAGAAGAGTAGATGCTAGAGCGAAGGAATAAAAAGCAAGAGCTGGATTTAGAGTGTTTATATAGCCACCTAAATCCATGGGCGGTGAAGATGTACCACAAGCTGCACTCCGTGCTCAGTGCTGAGAGTAAGACACTCAATAGAGACCATAATGTTGAATAAAATCAATCAGACACATATACCCAGAATTATAAAGAGCAAAACGAAAGCTAGATAATAGTAGGGAGATAGATCTTGTCTGAGAGGGGACCAAGAGATGGAGGGGGAGGGGAAAGGAGGAAGATGGGGAAGGAGTTAAGTGTTATGTACCTGCACCAGCTCTACACGGGGCGCACAAGCACATTCTAATTAAAGAGTAGACAGATTCCATTGAAGTGAAACTGGAAGCAGTGGTAGGAGAGAGACATTAAA